AACCTGATAAACCTAGTTCACTGCAAAAATGTTTTGTCCACAAACTCAATTATTGTCAGGTTCAGCCCAAAGAACTCCACAAGACAGTGCAGTACAGTTCTGTTGCATTTATTAGCTTCACCTCAATACAGAAATCTCTCCAGACTGAACCTAAGTTCCCAAGCCAGCAAGCCACAATAATTTATTAGCTTCACCTCAATACAGAAATCTCTCCAGACTGAACCTAAGTTCCCAAGCCAGCAAGCCACAATAATTTATTAGCTTCACCTCAATACAGAAATCTCTCCAGACTGAACCTAAGTTCCCAAGCCAGCAAGCCACAATAATTTATTAGCTTCACCTCAATACAGAAATCTCTCCAGACTGAACCTAAGTTCCCAAGCCAGCAAGCCACAATATCCTGAATTCCTTAGGGTGGTGCCAGTCTCATCCTCTTAAACTTCCCATGCTCCTGTTGAGGGCTAAGGAAACGCTTATCTCCCTGAGCATGGCCTTCATAACACCATTCCATCACAATTATCCAGACACTGGACATCACAGAAATGTTTTGTCCACAAACTCAATTATTGTCAGGTTCAGCCCAAAGACCTCCACAAGACAGTGCAGTACAGTTCTGTTGCATTTATTAGCTTCACCTCAATACAGAAATCTCTCCAGACTGAACCTAAGTTCCCAAGCCAGCAAGCCACAATATCCTGAATTCCTTAGGGTGGTGCCAGTCTCATCCTCTTAAACTTCCCATGCTCCTGTTGAGGGCTAAGGAAACGCTTATCTCCCTGAGCATGGCCTTCATAACACCATTCCATCACAATTATCCAGACACTGGACATCACAGGGTAAGGCCCATATAAGAGCACTCTAGTTATTAGAGGCATCACAAATCCAGTAACACATGCTGTTGATGTTTCTTGACACCCTGAGATAATGGGGTATTGGCAGTCAGTGGAATATAATTGAAGCCGGACTGATAGGAATAATGGTAGATGAGTTTCAGATGAAATATATATATAATAGTATTTAGTTATTTATGATTTGGTTGCCCAAGTCAAACCATGTGACTCTGGGTGGCATACAAAAAGAAAAAGAGAAAACCATAATAAATCAATACAAAAATAACATATTTTATTAAAACAAATTAAAACAGTAAAATGACTATCAAAATTGAAATCTTCATCAGTTGGGGATTCAACTCATCATGATCCTAAGGCCCAGGGAAAGAGCTAAGTATTGTCTCCCTTCTTAAAGGCCTGCAGAGTTGGGGCCAACAGTATGTTGGGGGGGGGATCATTCCAAAGGACAGGAGCTACATATATACCTCCTGAGTTCCATTAGATGAAGGGACCTGGAGTCTGCCCTCTCTGTCAGAGCATGTGGGATGGGCAGACACCCTCAGGAGCAGGCAGTTCTGCAGATAGCCGGGTCCTGTATCATGTGTATCAAGCTTAGAGAATTGTAGAAGTCTCCACCAGATGTTTAGGTGCTGAAATCTATATTGGCCACATGCTTCTTCCAGGATGTCATAGAAAATGTTAGCTCTAAAGTATGGCCAATCCTCCGGGAAAACTGAATTCCTAATCTGCTTTACCAGTGTTGGAATTTAAGAGTGTAACATCCCTTGGAGTTGGACATTTATAGGCCAGTTTCAAACTTTCCATTGTTGGGTGAGATGATTGAGAGGAAGGCGAAGGAAGGAGATTATCTTCACCCAATTCAATCTCCCTTAAAGACAGCTATGGGGGTACCCATTGCCTTGGCCATCCTGATAGATGATACCTTTGGAGGAATCAACAGGGGGAATATAATTAGTTCTCCTCAGACATGGCTACTTTCAGTATCTTTGACCAAGGTAACCATTTAGAGCCCTTGTTTTGCAATGGTTCTATTCTTGTCCTGTATTCCTGTCTCTCAGACTGATTGCAGATGGTATCATTTGGGGACAGGTTCTATATTAAATGGGAGCTATTATATGGGGTCTCAATGCCATTCAGTACTATTCAATATGTGTATGAAACCACTGGGGGAAAGCATCAGAAGATCAGGAGCTGGCTGTTATGTGTTGGAGGGAAATTCCCCAAACCTAGTTCCCCTCCCCCCCAATGTGTTTTCTGAGGGTTGGGTAGCAAACATGAGTTTGCAAATGAATATTGCTTTTAACCACAGTTCTCGGGATAAGCAGCTTGCAGTTAACTACCTCTTTAAAGAATTGTCATTCTGCATGCCAAGGGTGGGTAGGCCACCTCATGATATGTTGCAGCCAGAAATGAAACTGAAAGAGCCACGTGAGAGTTACTGCTTTCCCCAGACGTAGAGGGGAACCTTACTTGCAACCTGAGAGCATTCACAGAACGTGCAGCGGCTAGAGCTGGAATTCCAGCCTTTCTGGGCCTAACAATATGTAACTAGTCAATAAATATGTAACTCTAAGTGAAGGACACTTGCTCAATTTGTCCATTTCCATAGCAACAATAAATTTCAGAGATAGTTCCTCTAGGCACATTAAATGGCTTTCTTCCAGAAAGAGAAAGAAACTCAGAATCCCAGGATAAGTTTCAGTGCTTTATTTCAAATTGAAAACAAAACAAAGCATGGCAAAGAATAAGATTAAAAAAAAAAAAGAAGCGTTAGTCCTTGTTGCAGAAATTGATCTTATATTTCTGTACAAAAGTCTTTACCAAAGTTGTAGGATCCAGTTAGATGGCCAGTCCAACTATAAACCCAAAGTTCACAGAAGAAGAAAGCAGAGCAGTGAAAGGGAAGAGCCCCACTGTTGCAAGTACTCCCTCTGAATGTTAACTGTGCTGCATATGGCCTTTTAAACCTTTTCAGGATGGTGGACATACCCCATCTAACTCTTGATTGGTCTGATGGCTGGTTTACATAACCCATCATCCAATATCAAGCTGATTGACTGGTCAGTCCTTGTCAACCCACCTGGGATCTCTGATTGTTGCTTGATCCATCTTGACTGGGCCCTTGCTCTGTCTCCCAAGGAATCAAAGTGCTACTCCTGGGTCCCTATGAATCTTATACATCTTCTTTGGCCCATTGGCTGGATGCAGATAAATGTGTTTTCAGCCCTTCTTCCTTATTTGATCAAGTTGAACTGTGCCATCATATACATAAATAAATTATGCAACCACCCCTTCCTAATTTGGATAATTTCAGTTACACCTTTAACTGTATGAACAATCAAATCTGTTGCATAAATATGCTCTACAAACTCATATGCTTAACTAAAGCGTGAACCAATATTCCAATCCTCCCTGTTTTTTTGCTATTGCAAAACAATTATCAATACATAGTGACCAATAACACCCTTAAGCAATAGGTTACAAATATAAACCAACCTGTACTTAACAGGGCGTTGTCATCTCTTTCTTTGTAAGGAGGCCAATCTTCTTTCTTTGTAATATTTCTCAATGGTGGTGCAACTACCCTGAATGTCAGCTGATAAGGATAATAAATTGAAGCTAAATACTGACAAGATGGAAATGTTCAGGGAGAGAGGCAGAAAGTGATACGTCTGTCACTTCTAGATGGGATTTCACTTCCCCAAATTAACCTAGAATTGTTTCTAGATTCATATCTCAGGTTTCTCCCGGTGAGGCAATGGCTCATTTGGAAAGAAGAGTTTGAAAACATTGGTGTATGGGCTGCTAGCTTCCAGTGTTAACTACTGGAAGGTGCTCTCTGGGGGCTGCGTTTGCATCTTACATGGAAAGTTCACTTAGTATGACATTCAGTAGCCAGATTGGACTATGGGAGGCCCAAAGAAATTATTTTGCACCTATTCTGAAAGCATCACACTGGTTGCCAGTGCATTTCTGAGGGAAATACCACTAAAGCTTGGCTCCAGGTTCCTGAGAAAACAGTTGTTTGTTCAAGATGATTCCCTCCCATCTCCATTCACTGAGATTATCTGAAGAAGCTCATCTTCAGATGCACGGACTCAGGCTCAAGCCTTTTCTTGAATTGTTCATCCCTGTCAAATTGAAAGAATTTACCTCCTTGTAAGCATTCAGAAACAGGCTTCTAATTGATTATGGTTTTGACATAATGTTTAATTTTTATTAACTCTGATTTTATGCTTTTAGCATAAGCCATTGTGAGACTCTGATAGCTGGCAGCCTAAACATTTAATACGTAAATATGGTTTAATTTGATCCCCCCCCTTCTTTTAAGTGAATCCTTTGAATAAAACTTTTTGACACAGAATAGCTTGCCAAATATTCTTGTTAAGAGCTAATTATTGTATACAGTTTGTGCTTTATACATGCTTGGCTTTACTTGAGATTTTCCTCTTTATGAACTGTTTTATTTACTAGTTACTCTGTCTGCCATCTGGCTGCCTTACTCTGCTCTTTTTGATTTTGCTTAAGCATCACTAGTTTAAAAGCAGGTAGGCTTAGATAAATAAGGGCAGGATAGAAGCCTTTCAACAGTCTTTCCAGAATAGTAAACAGTCCTGCAGAAACATCTTCAGTGACCTTGAATGGAGGTTTCATTCCTTTAGCCCATTCTTTCATTCAAATTCCTGGGAGACAGCTGTTTTATGACCCATCCATACATTTTAGAATTATGATAAGTGGGTAGATTAATATCCTAGCCAAAATGTTCAAGGTGGATTGCCTAAGCAGCTTTCTGTTAAAAAGGAACATGGAATTGGTCTTATGAAGGCATGTTTGTTTTCACTTATTTATTTAATCACTGTACATGGCACTTCCAGGAGCAGATGTTTCCAGTAATACATACAGAGTTAGAGCGTAAAAGGAAAAACAGCCCCCTAGATTCTGTACTGCTACTTGAAATGATTCCCTTGATCAAAACAATAAACCTTTGTGTGTAGTTTGGGACCTCTGGACTGCTATGGTATGAACATATAGAAACATATCCATCAAAAATTATAGCCAAGTGTTTTATTTAATAATTATTATTGGTATTATTATATTTAAAAGCCAAAATAACACCTTGTTAAAATAATTTCTTTTTTTACCCTTCAGATGGACCGTGTCATTTTTTGTGTGTTTTTGGAAGTTGATTACAAAATTTACAAGAAGAAAATGAATGACTTCTTCCCAACAGGTATGTATATTTATTTGTTTCTTTGAAAAACAACTCCTTGTCCTCCAGATATTGTCTGTACGTATGCACAGATTGTTTATCTTTTCATAGGTCTTCTAAATGATTTATCATTTGACATTTATTCACATATAAAACATGCAAAATGTCATAAACTTTGTTGTATGGTAATTAGGCCTGTGCAAATCAGCACTGATGGTTCAGTTTGAACTGGAAATTCAATACTGAAAGAGAATTATTGGATTTGACTGTGTGATCTGAGGGTTGAGGCAAAATGATTCAAGCCATTAGAAATGTAAAATTAATTCAAAAAAAAGTTTTGTCTATAGGCTATAATGGGAAAATATCACATACCTGTATCTGCTGCTTCTTCTTTATCTTTGGCAGAATACGATGAAAACAACAGGAATGGTAGATCCTTTAGTGGACAATAATTATCCCTAGATTTAGCAGGATACCATCAAGCAGTTCAATGCAATGATTTTTTTGAAATATTCACCCTTGACCCCATTCAAGTCAGAGGGAAAGACAGCATAGCAGCATTGAAATTGTCCAGCGTGGAGCCCAAATTGTCCTGTACCAATGCAGGATCTTTTCTACTCCAACTTAATAAAAACTTTCAAAAACTATAAGCAGTGAAGTATTATTTTCCTCTTGCTTTTCTGGAGTGCCAAGCTTGGCATGATGCTGAAGTGTGCCCAAGGACATGCCCTTGTGGAATGCTTCCTCTGATATGGGATATCAAGAAGGCTGCTTAGCTGGTTGTGAAGGACCTCCCTGCTCATTGGCTTGAGTGTGATGCCAAGTTGCGTAGGGCACAGTGGTAAAGCTAGGTCTCTTTGGGGCAGATGTCAGAAGAATGAGCATTGACTAAAGCTGTAGTATTAGTGTTGCTTTGCTGCCTCTGATCACTGGGTTTTGGGGAGTATAAGGAGAGTTGGCACAGCAAATTTGGCCCTTTGTGGGAAGGACTCTCTCATCATCTGCAGGACTCAACTGTGTCTGGATTATGGCCTGCTGGAAATATTCTCATAGTAGAGAATATTGTAGCTCAGGGCTGAATTGTTGGGTTCTTGGTATTCTCCGACCTTGTTTGTTTTCCTGCATATGTGTCATTCCCAGGCTAGGTAACATCAGTGGAAATATTCTCTATAATTACTTGATCAAGGCAGCCGAAACAGGATGGTACAGTGAGATACAGCATCATGGAGATAGGCATGCCACAGGGAAAGGGGCTGGCCCATAAAGTGATATACATACTCTTAAAAACAATAAAGGTTTGTGAGAAATTGTTCTTCAAGGACTCCCCTTGCACATACACCCCCATAATTAAGCCATTCACCTAACAGTTCATGGATGAGCTTGGAATTTTTGGAAATATTCCCCTTGGGACATATGTGTTTCTGGGGTCTTAAACCCAGAACATTTATCTCTAAATCATTCTCCAAGGCACAGCCTTCTTCTTTTTATTCAAACAAAGTAGCTTAAAGCAGGCAAAAAAGTTGTATCATCAAAAAAATTGCATGTTTAGCATGGCACAGCATTTTCACAACTAATTAACATAGTTCTGTATCAAGGCTTATAAAATAAATGCTTAACATGCTATTTGGGTCATATGCAAGAGTGTGAGCTGTTCATTTCAGATAGCTTTAGATGGCTTCAGCAGTAGTACTCCTTTTGCATTCTTCCTAATGTCATATTTACCTAATTGTTTCTGTCTCATGTTTGAGAGGTATTTATGAGCAGATAACCTGAGATAACACCATCTTCTGTCTCAAATCATAAAATATTTTCTGACAAACAACTTTATCAGTGCATATACTGTTGAAACAGATTTATATAGGTAAAATCATATTCCTAATACCTGGAAGATCTGTGCAGTGTCTTTATTTAACAAATTTTCTGTCACTTTGCAGACATCTGCCCACCTAAGAACCTAACAAGGAATTTATTATTCTGACACTATTGATTATAAGTATTTTCTGGCTCTGAGTTCCACTGATATGGTGTCAGTAGATACTAGGATCCCAGTAAGGTTTAGAAATCTTGGTTGCTTTCTATCACACCAGCTATTAATGATAGCAGCAATTCCTCCTTCCTCCTCCTCCTCAAATTCTTTTGTTTCAATGGCTATGCCCAAATGCTTTTTCTTAGAGACTTTCTATATTTGGTTTACTAATACTGTCATCCAAAATAATTAAACTGTACAAGAGATAATTCCTCTATCATAGGTTTCAGCCAGCACATATAAGTGTTGGCCTGGCAGCTACAGCACACATTGTTGAGACACTCAGAGCTGCCCTAATCATGCACAATTTAAAAGGTTTGATGTCAGCATGTATACTGGACCGGTTGGTGTTGAGCTCATATTCTGGGTACTGAAAGCTGAGCTGAACTTCAATTGGGTTGGCAACACTAGCACAGGAGTATGAGATTCCATTAGCGAGAGAGAAAGAGAGAGAGCGAGAGAGAGAGAGACTTTTATTACAGTCACAGATCAGAGTTACAAATGAAACCCATTAAAAATAAAATAAAAGTAAAACAGGATAAGAATTGGTGGTGGGTTCCTTGGTGGGCAATCAAGATATGCCTAATTTTACAGGCAGTATAACAACGTTTGGCTATATTCAAGGGAACTAAATCTGATAACAACAACTGTACATAAAAAAAGATCAGAATTTCCCAGGTGTTTTACCAGGTAAGGAGTGACAAGGTGGGTCCTGGGATCCTTATAGAGGGTACAGTATAACAGGACATGAGCTGTAGTTTCAAGAGAGAGCAAAGTTAGGATTTATGCCTGGCCACATTAAAGAAGCTGAGAGTTGAGAAAGTGAACGAAGCCCAAATTAATATTAGCTTGCCACCTAGAAGAGCTGTGAGAGGCAGAGAATTTAATGAAGTGATAAATCACATTGGCTGGCTGGTCAGTGTCAGAATGCCCATCACATCATTCAGTCCCCACCCACAGCATTCTTCATATACAGAAATAGTTGCAGCATTGTATATTGTCTGTATAACAACCTGAGAGGTTGTTACAGAAAAACCACTGAATCTGCCTAGTGTTTCAAAAAACAATGTGCTTTGAAGCATACCTGCCCTTTGATTCATGACTCTGCTGCAATGGACTGATTCAGTTGGTCATCAGATAAAAGCAGCTGTTTCAAGCTTTCTGCAGGTCCAATGGTCATCTGTGAGGATTCACTAGGAATTGCGGATCTCACATTCTCCTCTGGGTAATTCAGGGCAAGGTAGACTTAAGACGTACAATGGTTTTACAAATTCACTTCATGAGGCGTCTCTGTGATTCCACTGACAAATTCATATGTTGGGAATGTTCTCTAGGAGAGAAGAAAGCAAAAGTAAAGGAAAGCTAGGGTACGGGAGGAAGAAAAGGAAGGAGTCATAGTATAGATCAGGACTGAGAAGAAGACAAATTGCAAGAGGAGTAGGGATGGACAACAGAAACAGTAGGATGTATCCTAACCTTGCTGTACCCAGTCATAGGAAATCTCAGGTTCATCCATCCTCTGGGGGAAAAGAAGGAAACAGGGAAACCCACTTGAAACTTCATGTGATCTGCAAACAAACTTTTCATAATAAAATATAAGTTTCTGGATGAAGTCTAGAGATGTATGTATGTATGTATGTATTTACTTACTTACTTACTTACTTGATTTATATGGTCACCCTTCTCAAATGCATGACTCTGGGCAGCTAACAATATTAAAAAATTATAAAGAAACATACACAAAAACATAAAACCCATAGTAGCCAGAAAAATCGATTATAAAAGCCGCAATCAGCCATTCAGCATAACCACAAAACTGGTAACATCCCACACCTAGGGCACCAAGTCTGAGCACAGACCCACATCTTCAACACCTTATGGAAGGCCAACAGGGATGGAGCCAATCTAATCTCTGGAGGGATGATATTCCAGAAGGCCGATGCCATGCCAAAAAGCTTCTTTTCCTGGGCCCTGACAGCCGGCACTCCTTAGCCAATGGGACCTGGAGTATGCCCTTCCTGCCAGACCAGATAGAATGGGTAGAAACAATGAGGGAGAGACGGTCCCATAAGTAACCCAGCTCCAAGCCATGAAGGGCTTTAAAGGTGACTACCAGCACTTTGAATTGCATCCTTGGTCACATCAAAAGATCCAGGCAAACCTTCCAAAGATCAAGCACCTTCCCTACTTACCTGAGGGTGCACAATTGCTTTAAAAAGTTGCAAGCCAGTAATACCTTCATATCTGTGCACACTCTGATGTATCTTTTTGAAATCAAATCCAAAGCATCGCACACCTCTAGATCTCAAGGAACATTATATCAGCAAGACCAGTCAGAAGCCTCTTTTAGCCTGGCTGAATAAGGTTGGAAGCAATGGCTGGGTTCATACATTTTGCTATGTCATCATTTGATTTAATCATAATTTGTGAAATAAGTGATGGTAATGGGTTTAAATCAGGCTAAATCAGAAACTCATGGGTTATAAACCATAATGACTAGCTTCATGCAACATACTAAATGAAAAACAAGTAAACTATATTATGGGTTAGTATGGTGGGAATTTAGTCAGTGGCAAATGAGATACAGTAGCTTCTGAAGGAAAAGTTCCTTAGAAGGGAATTACTAGCTTCTTGCCAAAGATGGATTATTTTGTGTAAGTAACAATTTCCTGGAAATCTGAGGCAGAGTTCCTTGTGTTAAACTAACAATCAAAATTAATTTTCTATACTAGGGCAACCATATCTGGGCTGCAAAGCTCTGGACAACCGCTAGATGGCAGCAAAGGATTTTGGAATGTATTTGCTGACATTTAGTGGTTATTTGTATTTTTGCAACCCTAATTATAACAAGAATTACTTAGTGAATATGAAAATAAGCTTTTTCGGTCACCAAAATACAGAAATAAGATTTATAACCGTAACTATTATACACACACACACACACACATATTTGTCTTCCTCAATCTCAGGTCCTCTACCAGAGGCCTGGGAATTT